CACACATGGGGCAAGTATCCATTGGAGTAATAGGATCTGTGATACTAATGTCTTGGACTCTTGGTGTGCAGCTGTGGGGTTAGCACTGGACTGCAGGTCAGCAGTTCAAATCCACCAGCTGCTCCTCGGAAACGCCAGGAACTGACTTGATGGCACTTCACAACAACAACATACTATTTTCTTCAGACTTAAATAATAACTTTTCGAAGGTGATTGTTGTGAAGTATTGTCGCACTGGTTCCGACCCACAGCGACCCTCTATAGAGTGACTTTGCAGTTTGATGCTTTAACCCACAGTGTCACACCAGGACTCTTTAAAGCTTACTTAGTGGAAAAGCCAGGAATGGAATTGGGGCATTTCTGAATTGCCTGAAGTTTAAGAGACAGTATAACAAACAGTCTTGGGATGGTTTGGAGGTCGGCGGGGGGTGGTGGATGGCAGGCAAAGAAGTACAAGAGGGAAAACTTTTGATGTTTCTCTGACTTTTTTTATTGTTTAAGGACCAAGGGCCATGTCAGACCTGTAGAGGTGAGTGGGATGACCAGCTGGCAGTGTTTAGGGTTGTTGTTGTTAAGTACTGTGGAGTCGGTTCCGACTCATAGTGACCCTGCAAAGGGTTTCCGAGGCTGTAAATCTTTCGGGAGCAGAAAGCCTCATCTTTCACGTGGAACTACTGGTAGTTTCGAACTGCCAACCTTGAGGTTATTATTAGCTTGATTTGTAATCACTATGCTACCAGAGTTTTAGGATTAGGTAGTTTATTTCACTCCAGGAATGGAGCAAAGTGGGATCACTGATTGCAAACATGCAGAACTAGCAGAGCCAGGAGTCTTGCTCCCTTCTGTCCCCACCTCCCCCATCAAGAGGACTTATCTCTTCTTTACCTTTTTCCTCTTTGATTAAAAAACCAGTCTTGCTACCACTTAGCCCTTTGCTCTTCTCTCTCTTCTGACCCAAGGGAAAAGGCCCACACATTAAGGATGAGTTTAGTAGTATGACTGGGAGCGAAAAAAGGGGAATGAGAGGAAAATGAATCATGGTTTCAGTGATCTGTTTGATCAGTAGCCACCACTGTCAAAGGAGGCAAAAGGAATAATCTCCATATTTGATTTGTGAAGGGAAAAAAAAAAAAAAGCAATTAATGCAAGTTTATATCATCGTTTGTGGCTTCAATGGAAAACCCAGCCAAGGCTTTGAGTTTCTGCTTGGGTGTTTTGCCCTGGACTCAGATGCATGCTCCCAACATATACATATGCATGTTTAACATAACGTAGAATCCTGGTTGTTGTTGTTAGGTGCTGAGTTGGCACTGACTCATAGCAACCCTATGTACAGCAGAACGAAACACTGCCCGATCCTGGGCCAACCTCACTACTGTTGCCATGCTTGAGACCATTGATGCTGCCACTTGGCCAATAATACATCGCGTTAGGGTCTTCCTCTTTTTCCCTGATCCTCCATCTTACCAAACATGATATCCTTCTCCAGCAACTGTTCTCTTCTGACAATATGTCCAAAGTATGAGAGACAAAGTTTGGCCTTCTTGGCCTCGGAGGAGCACTCTGGGTGCACTTCTTAGTTTTGTCCCAAATGAGCTGCTTATTTCCATATTTTATGAACATTAAGGAGTCCTGGTGTGGCGCTGCAGGGTAATACACTAGATATCAAGGTTGGCTTGAGTTGCCAGGTCAGCAGACCAGCTACTCCTTGGAAACCCTACACATGGTCACTCTGATTCAGAACCTAATTAAGTATTATTAAGGAACCTTGGTGGTGCAGTGGGTTCAACATTGGTCTGCTAACTGACGAGTCAGTGGTTCAAATCCCCCAGACACTCCATGTGAGAACAATGAGGCTGTCTGCTCCCATAAAGATTTAGTCTCAGAGAACCCAAGGAGCAGTTCTATGAGTTGGAATTGACTCGGTGGTGGTGATGGTGGTGGTGATGGTGGTGGTTAAGTGCTGTCTAGTCAGTTTCAACTCATAGTGACCCTGTATAGGGTTTCCAAGGAGCTGCAGGTGAGTTTGAGCTGCTGACCTTACGGTTCAAAATCGACCTTGCAGTCCGTCCAGTGCTTTATCCCACAGCGCCATACCAGGACTCCTGGTGGTGGTGGTATGTGTATTATTTCGTTACTTAAAAAAAGCCCTGAACTCCCAAATCTAATGTTGTCAAATAATTTCTGACTCCCTCTCCCCTCCCCACATGTTACACAGTAGAACTACTCCCTCAGATTTTTTGGCTCTAATTTTTTTGGAAGCAGATCACCAAACCTTTCTTACATGGTGAACTGGGTATTTGAAGACAAACTGTTTGTGTCACCTGGTTAATTGCTGTTGGTAGCTGCCATCCAGCCAGCCTCCCATGTGTCCAGGGTAGAACTGCTCATAGGGCTTTCTTGGCTGTAACCAGCACCCTGTCTTCTGCAGAGCCGTTGAGGCACTTAATAAATAGGAACCCTGAAACATTTCATCCTGCACCTAAATGCACCCATAGGCCTCTTTTCAGTGGCTTGCTCTTAGATATTCTGGATATTGTGGGTTAACAGATTCCCAACAGAGGAAGTCCTTGGGGAGAAAATCCTTAGACGTAGTCTTCCTCACCTGAATTGTGTGAGGAGGTGAATGGCTCTCCCAGCTGGCCACCTGACCTATCTGACTCCTTGGTGTGTGAGGCTTATGGTGTTTTTGTTTTGTTGTTCTCAGTTTCTATCTTAGCAGCTTGAAACCAGACTGGCTGAGTGGCACAGGCCCAAAATGGGGCCGTACCTTATCCATTCTTGTTCTTCTCTCAGATCAGTTAGACCATCATCAGATTGATAGAATGCTGCTGTGTGTTAAGCCCTGTAAGATGTAAGGTGGAAGAAAGTGATTACAATACTTGACTAGGTATCTAACATGAATTCATTCATACTAGATATTGAACTCCTCCTATGTGCTGCATGCCAAGTGCTAGGGGCGTAAAGAGAAGATAGACACGCCCCAGCTCCACCCTTTATGGGTTTAGTGAGGTGGGGACACTGTTACTGCAGTGGGCACTCAGTAAATTACTGGTGTTTTCATGAACATTTAATACAACAATAGTGATGTCACTGCTGAGTTTGTAAATGAGGGAGGCTTATCATCTATATCCTTGATCTGTTTATATTTCTCTGACCTTTGAGAATCAGAACTGTGTTTTTTTTGTCTGATGATGGGAAGGCACAAAGAATAAATGTTTGATCACTCCTTTAGCTGGAGTAGACCATCCATTGGTTTAGGAGCTTTGACAGTGGGTGTTCTATATTCTAAGAGTAGGAGCCGTGACCATCTTTTTGGAGCTCTAGTCTGGTATTTCTCTGGCAGCAGATCTTTTATCCCTGCTCTGGTTTTCTGTAAGGACTTCAGAGTTCTTCAAGTCAAGGGATTGTTGATGGGTGAAGTTTGACTAACAAGTTTTAATTTTTTAAAATATAATAACTTTGTTGTTGTTGTTAAGTTGGCTCATATAGGGACCGTTTAGGGTTTCCTAGGAGTGGCTGGTGGGTTTGAGCCACCAACCTGTGGTTAGTAAGTTCAGTGCATAACTTACAGCACCATGAGATGCAGTTTACATACTTTGAAATTCACCCTTTAGCAATTTTTAAAAAAAATTTTAATCATATTCACAAAGTTGTGTAATCATCACCACTATTGTATTTCAGAACATTTTATCACCTGCAAAATAACTCTGTATCTGTTAACTCCTAATTCCACTCTACTTCTAGGCCCTGGAAACCACTAGTCTAAACTCTGTCTCTATGGATTGACTATTCTGGACATTTCATATAAATGGACTCATATAATAGATAAGTGGCCTGTGTCTGGTTTCTTTCACTGTGCATAATGTCAAGGTGTGCTCAGCAGTAGCCTGTATCAGCGCTTAATTCTTTTTAACGGTTGTATAATAGTCCAGTGTATGCCTTAACCACATTTTCTTTTACCCATTTATCAGTTGATAGCCATTGGATTGCTTCCATTTTGTGCCTATTATAAATCATTCTGTGTATATTTGTACATGTTTTTGTGTGGACATATTGTCAGTTCTCTAGAGTAGATATATTTTGGAGTAAAATGATTGAGTCTATGATAACTTGTGTTTAACTTTTTGAAGAACTTCCAAATGGTTTTTGAAAAAGGCTACACCACTAAATAGCAGTGTATGAGGGTTGGAATTTTTCCACACCCCCACCAGCACTTGTTAATGACTAATGATGCTGAGCATCTTTTCATGTGCTCATTAGTTATTTTTGTGTCTTCTTTGGAGAAATATTTGTTAAGTATTTTGTCCGTTTAAAAAGATTGGATTATCTGTTCTTGTTGAGTTTCGAGATTTCTTTACATATTCTGTGTACTAATCCTTTGTCAGAAATTATTTACAAATATTGCCTCCCATTTTGTGGGTTGCCTTTTCACTATCCTAATAATGTCTTTTGGTGCGTGGAAGTTTTAAGTTTTGGTGGTGTCCAGTTTATCCATATTTTCTTTTATTGCTTTTTCATTTTGTGTCATATCTAAGACATAACCATTATCTAATCCAGTGTCATGAAGATTTGTTGTTGTTAGGTTCTGGCAAGTTGCTTTGGACTCCTAGCAACTCTATGTGACAGAGTAGAAGTGTCCCTTGGGTTCTCCAGGTTACAGTCTTTAATCTAGATAAGACCAGGTCTCCAGGTCTTTTTGGAGCTACTGGGTAGATTCAAGCTGCCCTCTTGTATTTTCTTCTACGATTTCTTTATTTTTAGCTCTTTCCTGATGACTCAATTCTTACACTGAGCCAGGCTTCAGAGACTCCTCTGAATGGTTTGCTATAGAAAGTGCTGTGAGTTGTTACTGTAAGGCTTCCTTTTCGTGCCACCTTGGTTAGTCAGTCAAGGACCTTGATCTTGGGAAACACTGGTTCCTAGGCATTTCTAGCTATTTTGAAGTTTCTGTATCTCATTTCATTGTCTCCCCTTTTTCTCCCCCTCCCCTTGGTAAGGTAACGAATGAAGAGGACTTTATTAGGAAATTGGACTGCAAACCTGATCAGAATCTGAAGGTGGTTTCCATTTTTGGAAATACTGGTGATGGAAAGTCTCATACTCTCAACTACACTTTCTTTTATGGCCGTGAAGTCTTCAAAACCTCCCCTGCCCAGGAGTCCTGCACCGTGGGAGTGTGGGCAGCCTATGACCCTGTCCACAAAGTAGCAGTGATAGACACGGAAGGGCTCTTGGGGGCCACGGTGAATCTAAGTCAGAGAACACGGCTGCTGCTTAAGGTCTTGGCCATCTCAGATCTGGTTATCTATCGAACTCATGCAGACCGGCTGCATAACGACCTCTTCAAGTTCCTTGGGGACGCCTCAGAAGCTTATCTGAAGCACTTCACTAAGGAGCTCAAGGCTACCACTGCCCGCTGTGGTCTGGATGTCCCCTTGTCCACTCTGGGCCCTGCTGTCATCATTTTCCATGAGACTGTGCACACACAGCTGCTGGGCTCTGGTGAGTAGATGGGGCCCTATGACACAGATTGACCTTTCTGGGGACACGGGGTTGACCACTGGGCTGTGATAGCAGCATGGTTGCTCAGAAAGATTTCTGCCAAGGCAAGACACAAGGAAGAATTTCAAGAAGGATGGAGTGATCTGTCATGTGAAAATCTGTTTATAACTCAAGTAGAGTGAGGCTCGATCGTTGGCGGTTGGTTTGGCAATCTGTAGATACCATTGGTAATCTGGATACAAGTTTCTTCACTGGGATGGTGTGGATGAAGGCCTGATTGGAGAGGAATTTAGAATAGAGGAGAATTAGAGGCGATGACTCTGCTCAGCTCTTTCAAAACTGTGGAAGCAACAAGAAATCAAAATAATAGTGGAGAGAGATGTGCAATTTGAATGACTTCTATTTTAAACATTGAAGATGGAAGACGTTGTAGGTATTTGTGTACTCACTGGAATGATTCATTAAATAAGAGACAGTTGGCTGTTGCGAGAGGGATGGAGAAGGAGGGATGACCCCTAAGTGGAAGGGCAGGCCATAGGAGCCTGGAAAGGAAAGTGGATAGGATATGGACACACTTGCAGGTATGGAGGTGTGGTTGTATGTGTGTGTGTGTGAAAGCTCTTTTCTTCTTGTTCCTACTTTCTAAGAGAAATAGGGAGTGAGACCATCACTTGAGCAGGAGGTTGAGCGAGGAGTAGCAGCAGTAATGTGGAGGGAGGGCATTACTTTTGATCCCTTGAACAGTGACACTCTTTATCTGTTCCTTCAGTCAACAGAGGGCTATTGAATGTACAGTGTCAGATGGTGACCACTGGAACACAGAGCCGAGAGAAAGAATCCCCATCCCCAGGGACTTCTGGATTGGTGCTATAGTATCGGCACTGAACTGCATACCACAAGATCAGCAGTTCAGACCCACCAGCTGCTCCTCAATAACTCTGTACAGGGTTGCTATGAGTCAGAACCAACTCGCCAGCACTTAACAACAACAACAACAACAACAGTAGTGAATGTCTAGTTGAGAAGACCAGGAGTTGCTGGATGCTGCTGGAACCATGGGAGTGCAGAGGAGGGACACTTAACTCTTTTACTGGGGTCTAGTAAAGAGGAAGTACATTTGAGCTCTGAAGGACCTGGCTCAGTAGAGGAAGGGAGGAAAGATGGTTAGGAACAGCATCTCATAGGTGGAAAACGACAAGTAGTTCTGCAGTTGTTGTTGTTAATTGCTGTTGAGATGATTCCAACTCATGGCGATGGCTTGTGTGCAGGGGCTAGGATCTTTTGGAAGTCAGATCTCCAGAGAGATTTTCTGAGGCACCTCTGGGTGGGTATCAACTGCTGACCTTTTGGCTGGTAGTCAAGCACTTCATTATTCCATAGAACTAAGGTCCACTCGGGCAAGGACCTTAGCTCCATAGGAGCTTCCTAAAGGACAGTCTAGCCCTTTTCAATCCATCTCCCTCACAGCATTCAGAATGCTCTTTTTAAAAAAAGTTTGGTATATAATTTAGATTTAGTCACACTCTTGCCTTCACACACCTGTCAGTGACTTTCTACTGTATTCAAAATGGAATAAAAACTCCTAAACATGGTAGAAGTAACATTGTTCTGTAGTATTTCCAAGGCTGTGATCTTCATGGAAGCAGGCTGCCACACCTTTTTACTGCAGAGTAGCTAGCTAGTGGGTTTCAACTGCTGATCTTTCCCTTAGCAGCTTAGTGCTTTAACCACAGTGCCACCAACACTCCTCAGGAAATAACCCAAAGCAAACCCACTGTCATTGAGTTGATTCTGACTCAGAGCTGACCCTGTGTATGGTGTTTGTAAATCTTTATGGGAGCATACAACCTCATCTTTCTCAGAGCAACTGGTGGATTTGAACTGCCTACCTTGTAGTTAGCAGCTCAGTGCTTAGTCCACATTGCCACCAGGACAGGACGCTAATGTTTTTTAATTTAAAAAATTTTTGCTTTGTACTATGCACTGTGCTAGGTTTTTTAAGAAATGTCAACTTACTGTATCTGTATAATTCTTCAGCCCAATCAATATCAGCTTTATTTTACAGATGAAGAAACTGAATTTAGCTTAAGGAGAGTTTAGCTAGTTAATTGCAAAATTGGAATTCAAAACAAGTTCGCTAGTTCCTAAATCCAGAGAGGCTTCTTGAAACCATGAAATACAACCAAGGCAGCCAGATTTTGTTCAGGGTAGGAGAGGTGCCAGAATTATGGGCATATTGATTAGATTTTCTTTCTCATAGAATTTCTGACTTGCCATTTGATTCCCTCCTTTTCTGGATGAAGATTTCTTAAGTGGGAGCCAACGGCAAATAAATGATCCCTGTTTTACAGGTAGACAGAATGAAGCCATTTGGGAGTAGTGGTTATATGTCAAAGGACAAGCTGTGAGGTGATGCTCACAGGAAGTGCAGTTGGCTAGTCTGGGCTCGTGGGTGGTTTTAGGAGAAGTCACTGACTGGTGGATCACCCCCTTCTGGGCACTACCTGTGCCTTCTTTCAGAAGTTGCTTCCATTGGAGAAGTTCTGGAGGAGATTGGTGTAGAGAATAGGTGCAGCCTTGTGGCTTCTTCTCTCTGATGATTTCACCTTTAAATTTAAGTCTATATCAACTGGATTTTTCTCCTTGTGTTTGGTTGTTAAAATACTAAATGAAATTTGAACTAAACATCTTTGCAGCTTTTGTGTCTGAAACATCTAACGAGTTCATTGATTCTACCACCACTGTCCACGTTCTAGACAAATGTTTGTGAAACTATGGCTAAGTTACTATCCATGTACATTGGCAGTTTTCTCACCGCTTCATCAGCGAAAGACTGGAGTTTTCAAAGTACCTATTAATTTTCAGTGTTCATTAGTAGGTGACTGGTTAAATATATCCACAGGGAAGAATACTATGTAGCTATTAAAAATAAGGAGCTTCTCAGAGTATATCTTGACAAGGACAGATAGTCTGTTATTAAGTGATTAAAAACAAATAGCATATACTTGTATATGTTGGTAAGTCTCTGAGAGGGTAATGTAGTTATCTTTGGGAAGTAGGAGGGAACAAAGGACTTCTATTTCTTTTATGCTTTGGCATTATTTGAGCATACTGTTATTTTTT